CTCGCTCGGCCCTGGACCCCTCCCCTCGGAGCTGACCCCTTTCAGGGGCTCCGCACGCCCCAATTTGGAAACAGCCCAAACATTCCTGCCTCCGTGTCCGCGGGACGAGCCGCTGCGGCCGCTGCCGGGGGTCAGCCGGGATGTGACCTCCACGCGAAGCCACAGAACTCAGGGAGCAACGGCCGCGATCAACTTAAAACGCGACAATGAGATGAGTTCAAAAAGCCCGGCCTCCCTCCATGAGCGAGGGAACGAGTCCATTCCCCACGAGCGGGCGGGCGCTGGGGCCAGACCCCCCGGTGACACTGACCCCACGAAACAGAGAGACAGCCCCCGCCCCCCCCCCCACACGTAAAACACGAACACGTGCAGCAGCCGTGGTGAAAGCGAACGAGCATGAGATGGACACGGACAGCCGGGCGCAGCGCGGGCAGGCGGGGGAGACGGTACTTACAACAGAGAACACACAGACATCACGTCTGCCACCATCCTGAGACAGGGAGACAGAGAGACAGACAGAGGCCCTGACACACAGCAGCCTGCGGCCGTCCGCGGGGAACGCGGGAGTGGGGCCGCTTTCCGGAGAGGGCCCCGAGGACCCTCCCAAGCTGGTTCCGATGACCCCATAAAGGGCTGCTGCCAGGGGCCTGGTCCCAGGGCACCCCAGCCACCGGCCCTGGAGCAGGACGGCTCGGGGGCTGGTATCCCGGGCACCGGAGTTCTGGGGACGGAGCAGGGAGAAGGGGGTGCCTGAGGAGGAGGGGGGGCCTGAGGAGGAGGGGGAGCCCACAGGATGGCTCTCGAGCCGAAGATGACAGAACGAGTCTGCAGCCTGAGGTTTCAGGCTCCTCTTGTTTGGGGCTTAAAGCTTCTGCCCTGGCTGGTGTGGCTCAGTGGGTAGAGCGTTGGCCTGTGGACTGAAGGATCCCGGGTTCGATTCCAGCCAAGGGCACACACCTCAGTTGCAGGCTTGATCCCCGGCCCTGGTCTGGGTGCCTGCAGGAGGCAACCAATCGACGTGTCTCTCACATCAAAGTTTCTCTCTGTCTCTCCCCCTCCTTTCCACTCGCTAAAAATCGATGAAAAAATACCCTCGGGTGAGGATAACAAATGAATAACGAAGCTTCTCACACAGATTCTACGGCGTGTCCAGCAGAAGCCTGTTGGGGTAACCGATCTAAGAGTCCGGCTGGGGGGACCGGGATTGCCCCCCGCCCCCCTCCCCCGCACCAGCAGGAGCAGGGGGACCCCAGGCCACGGCCTAGAGCCCTGACGACGCCTCACAGGAGAGCGGGGAGCAAGGCCCGCCCCCACAGGCGGCGCCGGCCCACGGCCTCAATGAGGGGCCTGGAACGCGTGCTCGAGGCGGGACGTGCCGGTCACCTGCCCGCACGTGTGCGCGGCCCACAGTCCCCACGGCCTCCAGGACCGCGCGGAAGGCGGCTTTGCCCTCTCAGGCCCCGAACTCCTCTGGGCCTGCAGGCCTGCGGCCTCTCATCTGCAAATGCTGCCCCGAGAGCGGGGTGCAGACACACGGGCATTTCCCACGGGTGAAGGGGGCGGGCAGGGAGGGCCGGGCCCGGGCTCAGCGTGCTGGCCTCCCGGACCGATCTGGTTCACGGGCAGATACCACGAATGCTAGCAGCATTTAAGGGCTTATTCCCCAGCTTCCGGCCACTCCAAAAACAAGCACGACTCCCAGGTCAAATGGAAAAGGCCAACAGGGAGCGGCTGGCCAGGTCCCCCCTGGACGGTCCCCTTTCTGTGGGACCCCAACAGCCCCCGGAGCTGGAAGTGAAGCTTTAAGACCCTGACTTACTCAGGCCACGAACCGAGGACTCTGTGCCCGGCCTGGCTCAGGGGCTGAGCGTCGACCTAGGAACCAGGAGGTCAGGGTTCGATTCCCGGTCGGGGCACAGGCCCGGGTTGTGGGCTCCATCCCCAGTGGGGGGCGTGCAGGAGGCAGCTGGTCCGTGATTCTCTCTCATCACTGATGTTTCTCTCTCAAGTCAATAAAAATATTTAAAAAAAAAAAAAAGATCGAGGACTCTGGACTCTTGGCCCAAAGGGTACAGGGGAGGGGAAATGTCTGGTCACACGCCGGGCGCCGTTGTGTTAGATGTGGGAGGGTGAGGGCACCCGCAG